ATGTAACTTATAGAACTTTTCACGCTGCGTCTTATGGTATACTTTGCTTTTCAAATAGACGTACTTAACGATAAAAAAAAGAGATACAAACACCGGTTAACTTTGAAAGTTGGGTACTTTTAATGTGTCGGATAATCTTCGTTTAATGTTTTTCCTTAACTTTCTACATAAATAAGTTTGATTTTGATTTTTCAGAGAATTTGACGGCACATCTTTTGGAAAAACAATTAGCTCTAAAGACCGAAAAGAAAAAAAGTTATAGTCAAAATACTGAGAGGTCCATTTAATCTGGGCCACCCGTTATATGATTTATACTCCAATAATCCAGTAGATGGCTATTATTGAAGTAAAAACAATGAACTGAACAGCAATAATTATTACGAATCATTCAGTGGTGATTTGAACCGAGAGAAAATGGCTCCTTTTTTTCATAACAGACTTGAGTCATACAGTAAGAGCCAGAAATGATTTGAAAAAAAGAATCATTCATTGTCAAGTGTTCATATTTTAATTTTTCTTTTATATTATTGTAAACAAACGAAATGAAAATGAGGTTTTTGTAACATTAATACAGAAACATGGTTATCCATAGTAAATTAAGATACTTTTAACTGTTTAAATTTAATGAAAGATTTAAAAGGACTATATATACTGACAGGTTTTGTCCCGTTTGAGTTACATGAGTAATGTTTGAAAAGAATTTTTACCTATGTTCTTTGCTTTATGAAAAATAGCCACGGTAAAAAAGAACATTCTTTTTTTTTTTGCTTAATTTTACTTGATTTGTTTGGTCTATTTTTTCTCTAATATATATATACGTCTGTAAGGAACAAAATTATTAAAATAAGAAATTAGCTATCATTAAATATGCAAAACTAGTAGTATTTTAATTTTAAAAAGCCAGCGGTGAGTATAAATCCGTATAGAATCATTATACAAAACATGAAATAATTGGTGTTAAGAATCTAAGGACTTGTTTAATAAATTGGTTTAAGTCAATACTGTATACAGAGTAGCCTAAAAGTAAGATAACACAGATTTTGTTCAATTTCCTCTTTGTACACGATTAGTGCGATCTTATATTAATGCCACGTACGCTAGGTGATATTAGTCAAAGATGCAGTACATGATTAGTATCTAGATGTAGTAATTTGTTCAACACTATGCAAATATAGAAGAACCAAAAGTAAGGAAACACCTTTGACAGCAATGCCGTCCACGAGTACGATTTTGTGCACCTGGATCTAACCCAGACTTGAATAGCTGTATTTGATACTTGGTCGAATACGGACCGCAGCTAATCGACATTCGATAGATACTTTCACAATCATAGTATAGTTTTCAAACTTTTACTTTATATGAAAAAGTATATTGCTCAATTTTTACCATAAACAATAAAAAAAAAGAGATCATCATCAAATAGTACACAAAAGCAACTGACACAAATGTTTCAGGATTCATTTGATGTCTTTCTGCTTCTAAAGTCCAATTCATTTCGTTAAGTGTACATTTACTTGTTGTCGATGAAGCTCGAATGGAACACAATGTTTATACCAAATATTATACTTGTGAGAATACATAGATGAATGTTTTTTTCATCACGATAATATATGTTGACTTTCCTTTCCATGTATTCAGTTACTTCATTCATAATGATTCCTCATCATCTGTAGATGAATTTTCATTAAAAATGAATGCTCTTAGTAAAACAATATCGCTTTCCACTTCTATGAAATATTCTCAAGTACAACTTATTGCTCGATCATAATCGAACCAGTTTGCATTCCTATGCTTTCATATATATATAGAAGTTTGAAAAAGTAAACATATTTTGAAATGGTGAGGTCTTGTCAATTGCTCGGTCAGGCATCAGGTATGATCTCAAACCTGGTGCCCGATTCGGCTCGATTGCAGGACACTATATGACAGTTATAGTTTTGTTGTCATAGCATATATTACTTTGTCTCCTCTACTAGTATTTATATATATCTGCTAGTCATGATATCTAATAGGTAACAACAGATATGGTCAACTCTCTTATCACCGGATTCATTTCTTTTTGAACTTTCGGTATTGTGTAATAAGTGTTGTCAGAACTCACACATGTTTCCTTAATTTCGAGCACTCTGTATTTGTTTCTTTATATAAGATCTAACTGACCATATACCGCAAAGAAATCGAAAAAATTCTTTGTTACTTTGCTTTTGAGTTACTCTGTCATTATTTTCAAAATTGATATCTTACTCTTAGATTTTTCTTTATATCCTAATAAGAATTGGACAAGTCATGTGTATTAATATTAAAGACAAAAAAAGAATAAAACATTTATGAAAATGTTCCATATTGTGATTCATCAATAATACTATTATTACATGGATTTAAACTATCTTCATCTAACATTTGATGTTGTTCTTTTTCTAGTCGTTTTCTTTCATCTTCATCACGTCTTTTATAAGTAAATCGTGCTAATATTATCATTAAAACACACATAATTATTACAACTAATACAAGTAAATTCATTAATTTATTTCGATTAGGAGCAATAAATAAAAGAATAAGTGATGCTACATTAATCCATTGAACAAGAATCGATGCTGATAATGATTCAGGTAAAGGAAACATTATTTCAGCAACAGCTTCATATATTAAGGGAGATGCAGCTCCTGAAAATAATCCAGCTAATGCCGTTGATAAACCAATAGTAGCAGCATTTGATGGAAGAATTGGTTTATCAAAAAAAAATGATTGAACAGATAATTCAAACCAAAGAATAGAAAGTAAACATGCAATATATGCTATCATAATAAGAGCTTTTAATGAATGTTGAAAACGACGTGTATCAGCTAGAGAACTTAAAAATAATCCACCAATAATTCCAGCTATTGATGAACCAAATCCAAACCATCCTTTAACAGAAACAAACGAATCTTGTCAGCATAGTCTCTTGGAAGTTAAAATGTAGAACTTTCCTGTATTATTTACTCTCATTATACTAATACAAAACACATAAAGTAAAAAATCTTCAGCAGACTATAGTTGTCAGAATTGTTTTTTTTTTGTTTCTATTCGGCACTCTAGTTTTTGCTGATTTTGTTCGTATTTGCTCACTTTTGTTTCATTTTTCTTAATTAAGCATTATCATTATTTTCATCATTGGTTTAACTAGCAAAAACAAGCCTCTTGTGCACATTCATTATATCCACAGCAGATCACAACACACTATCATATATATTGATACGCTCGAAATACTAATATATTGATTATTTTTCAAACTTATAGCAAGACCAGTTCACATTTTTTATGATGATATATCTATGACTATGACAAACCAAAGGATGACTACCCATCATCCTTAACATTTTGCATATAAATTTTTATCTAAGTAAAAATCAAAAACTGTACTATTTAGAATATTTGCAAAAACATATTTCAGTCATTGAAATTTTGAGAAAGATTTTGCAATATTCTTGAACCGACCCAACTATTCATCACAGATCGAAATGATATATTGTTCATAAGTAGGACTCAGGAAGAGTAGAAAATCTCTGAAAAGATTTCTCCCTATAAAGCTTCCTTATGAAATTATAACCATTGTATCTGATTTTTGGCTTATGGCAAAGTATTTATAGAAAAATTAGAAAACACAAAGAGTTTTCATCTGAATTTGTAGATAGTTCCTTTTCAACATGCTGAAGATCGAAGATAAGTTAGCGTTATGATTTTTTTTTGTGGTGTATGATCATTTTATAAATATTCAATATGTTGAGAAGAAACTAATGAATCCTAGTCATGAGTATGAATATCAATTTGATCGATGATTAAAATTTGAATATATTTCCTCGAAAATCTTCTCTCTAATACCATTCAACGCCTGATGTCCAAAATCATTTCGTTGCTCACAGAGGAAGAGTTGTAAAACCTTGTCTGAAAACTTACACTCAAAAAATATAATATAAGTTTATTATCAAAATTTCCTTACTTACCGGCTTGTTGTTCAGTATAATGTTCAGGTTTAAGAATAATATCATATAAACTTGTCCATGCACCAAATGTTCCAGAAAGAAGGCCACCAGCTATTGATATAAGTACAAATGACGGTGTTGTTAAACATTGCCAAATATCTTTGAGAAATTTTAGCCATGAATTATGATGATGTTCATGAATTGATTGATGAATAAGTGATTCAGCTGCTGCTGATGGAGCACTTGGTGGTTGACAAGGAAAGAAGAGAAGAGCAAGAACACAAGCAATAAATGCAAGACCCAAATGAACATAAAGAAGATGAGGAACATAATTTGATGATGAAACAATAAATGGACTAATTACAAAACCAATAGTTGCACCAAAATTATTAGCAAATACAGCAATTGTAGTTGCACGTGTTCGCTCATGAGGAGCAAACCAAAGACAAGAAAGTTGTGAAACAGGTGCCATAACTAATGGACCACAAGCTGCATTTAATATTTGACCAATATGTAAAAATGTTAAAGATATAATACTAAAATATGGACTTGATGGTGTTGTAATAACAATTGGAATAATACGAACAAGTGCTGCAATAAAATCAGTTATTGCAAGTAATTCAACACAACGTCGAAGTCCATGATGTTTGTTTAATAATATATAAGTTAATGGTAAACATGGAATAAAAATAATTGGTCCCCAATTTAGAAGAAGATCAACAGTAGCTTCACTAATATTATAATAAGCTTCAGCACTTCTTGCTATTGGAGAAAATGTTAACCACATAAGACATTGGTTAAAAGCAAGAAAGGAAAATATAAATAGAACATAAAATCGTTGTCGATATAATACATATGCTGACTTTGTCTGACTTGATGAGACGATAAGCACAGATTCACTAGTTTCAGATTTCATTGGGCAAATTTAACAACAATCTTTGACAAAAATAAACAAAGAAAGAAACTATGTGAACCGGACTTCATTTACTAGATACTTTTTTATGTCAAAGTACATTAAAATAAGAACTAAGCATAAAATATAAAACAAGGTAAAAAATTATTTTTTATTTTTATTTTATTTAAAAAACAACTATGTTATAAAAACAAAAGTCTTAAAGTATATCAATACCAGACTGTTGAATACGCATTAATTCAGCATAAACACCATTTTTCTTGGCAATTAGTTCAGCATGGGTACCCATCTAGAAAAGAAAATCAAATAATTTTTGTTTTCTTTTTAAAAATCAAATGTCAAATACTAACCTCAACAAGTTTTCCATACAACATAACACCAATAATATCTGCATTACGTATGGTACTCAATCGATGAGCTATTATTAATGTTGTACGACCTGTTTTAAGAAACAAAACTAATTCTTTTAGTATGAAAAAATTAATCTGAATTAGAATTTAAGTATCATCATCAATGCTAGGAAAAAAACCATAGTAACCGATGGAACAGCAAAATAACAAACAAAAACTTTTTGTGTACATATTTCTGTTGAATATGGTTTTCGCAAGAGAAAGAAGATATGTGAGTTGATACTTTCATTCAGAGTTTATTGTCATATATAAACATCATAATAGTACTTTATGAAAGCAACTATTTTTATCCAAGACTATACATAAAGTAATATTTATCATGATTGCTCGATCTAAAACTTAAGCTTTGGAACATTCGTTATCATCTCAACTGTAGATGAACAGTAAAGAATTGCAACTAGGGTACATTTATGACTATGAAGACCAATCGATCGATCATTGATTTAATAATTACTAACATTACATAAGATGAATAAATTCTTATCGCTGGAATCAAACTTCAAGGATGCAGAGATGTATATATATATATATATACGATGTTTGAGTAAAGTTCTTTATTTTTATTAAAGAATAAGTTAATAAGAATCATATTTGATTAAGTTTCAAACTCAATAATGATTTACCTTTTGCAACATTATTAATTGCTGATTGAACTTGTTTTTCAGATTCAGCATCAAGTGCACTAAAATAGAACAATGATTAATAATAGATTTTTCTTTTGATTACCTTGTAGCTAAAATGAAATAAAAATAAGATATAAAAATTTTAAAACTCTATTTTAACTTTACCTTCATCAAGAATTAGTATCGAAGGGTTTTTAAGCAAAGCTCGAGCACTTTAAACGAAACAAAAATTTAAAAAATATTTAAAATTAAGATAAATAAATTTTTTTTTACATAGCAATTCTTTGCCGTTGACCACCTAAAATAATACATGGAAAAAGTAAAATGGATAAACACTCAATAAAAAAGCAAACAAACCAGAAACAGTTACACCTCGTTCACCAACAACAGTTTGATATCCATCAGGAAATAATTGAATAAAATCATGTGCCATTGCTAATTTAGCTGCCTCCATAACTTCAACATCGGTTGCATTTGGTTTACCGAAACGAATATTTTCCATAATTGTTGTTGAAAATAAGGTTGGTTCCTGGATAATTCAAAAAAAAGCAAAACTTAGCGACGAAACCACCACAGCTGGTACTTGCCGTTTGAGCTCATATTAGACTTACAAGAGCGCCTTGGTGAGACCAGCTAAATTTTAAAGAGCGTTCAACTTGAAATTCTGTTTATAGATAAATCTAATGATCCATACAATATCTTGACCAAAGAACATTTGGGGGGGGGGGGGGGAGATGAAAATTTTGGGGATTTTTTAAAAGTAAAAATAGGGTTTTGGAGGAGTAATATAAGAGAGCAAGTTGGATTTTNGGGGGGGGGGGGGGGGGGGGGGGGGGGGGGGGGGGGGGGGGGGGGGGGGGGGGGGGGGGGGGGGGGGGGGGGGGGGGGGGGGGTGGGGGGGGGGGGGGGGGGGGGGGGGGGGGGGGGGGGCGGGGGGGGGGTGAAATCTTCCGGCTATTCTAAAAGTCAATATACGCATCTATGAGCGAAATCTCAGATCGCAAGTTCGATTTTTCAGTAAATGCTTATAAATGGATTGAAAATAAAGTAAAACAGCCATAATTCAATCACTTTCACAACGAAGGCTAGTGAATTGTAAACCGGTTTCCGAGAAGAACACACTTTTTTCAAAAACTATTTTAATTCACACAATAGATACATATTAACATTTCAGTGTGAAAATCCTCAAGATAATATTATTTTACTTAAAATTCGAGTTTTTGGAAAACAGAAAAGATTATTGTCTTAAAGACAACTCGATATGCTCTATAATCTGAATAGATTCAAAACAATCTAGGTAAAATGTTTATCATTCTAGAAAACTCAAACAGCAGTATCAGTTCGGATAGTTCTGTTCTTAAGCTAATTTTAATTTCTTACTTGATTAATCATTCCAATAACATTTGATCGAAGCCATGTTGCATTGAATTTACGAACATCTTTTCCATCAATAGTTATTTTACCATTTAATGGATCATAAAAACGTACAAGTAGTGAACATAATGTGGATTTACCTAAACTATACAATCATATGTATAATATATTTTTCTTATTTTTTCTTATTAACCTGATCCAGATGGACCAACTAAAGCAACAGTTTTACCACATGGGATTGTAAAATTAAAATTTTCTAATACTATCTAGAGAAAATTTTAAAAAAGTGTTCTTTTTATTTTTAATCAATCAAGAAATTTAACCTGTTGTTCTCGTGTTGGATAAGCAAATGAAACATTTGAAAATTGAACTTGACCAAGCATAGAATGATAAGGTATTCGAATACCTTCTTGAAGTGGAATACAACTTGTTAATTTTTGATATTCATGTATTCTTGCACCAGCTGACATTCCTCGTATTGCTTGTCCAATTAAAACGGAAATTTGTGTTAATGATCGTTGTATAGTTTGTGTTGCAACTAAAAATGCCATTAAATCACCAGCTGATAAATGTTGTTGAGATACATATTGACCACCAAGAGCAATCGTACTTAATACAATACCATTCATCAGCAAATTATTAAGACCTTGAAATATACCTATACCAAAACCTAATCGTATGTTAAGATCACGAGCTTTATTTACTTCATTTTGAAACATTCTAAGAAATATATACATGAAAAAAAAGGCTTCTTTATTTTGTACTGTTTTACTCATGTTCTTTTGTTTCAGCACCAAATGCTCGAGTTGTTCGAATATTTGATATAGCTTCATAGGCAATGCCAGTCGATATTGATAATTGTGCTTGTGCTTGTCGTGAAAGTTGACGTAATAAAGATCCGAATAATGTACCACCCGCAATAATACTTGGAATGACAAGACCAGCTAATCCAGCTAATGTTGGAGAAATATAATAGAGAGATATAGCTGAACCAACAATCTAGATTAAATAATAAAAAATTGAATATAGATATTTATTATTCAATCATATTTTTTTTTTGTATTTTGTACTTGTGTTGATGCACGCATGCCTTGTGAAACGAGTAATTTAAAACTTGATTTAAATTCTTGAACGTCTGATGTTAATCTTTAATTTTCAAATATAATATAATATTATGATAAAATGATCAACTTACCTATCCATAATTTCACCTGTTTTTGTTCTATCAAAAAATTCCATATCTAATTTAAGAATATTTTGAAAAAGATCTCGACGTATAGCAGCAGCCATACGTTCACCAGCTATTGATAAAAGTGTTATGTATTCAAATGTAGCTATTGATTGATATATGTATAATTCAAGAAGTTTATATGTTGGTTTAGATAACATTTGTTTAAAATCTATAGATGAAGATGAAGAAGTAAGTAAACTCGATACAGCATTGATAAGATTTCCCAGTTCTAATGGTATAGCGACATTTAAATAGGCAACAACAAGAGCTGTCTAGAAAAAAAAACAAAGAATTTCATTTTATGTATCAAAAGAGAAAAGAAAATATTTTACAGCTGTTGCACACGCTATAATCCATATCTGCGGTCGTAAATAATACCAGAAGAGTTTCCAATCAAATTTATCTGATGATGATATTGTTTTTCTTTGTACTTCATGTATAATTGATGGAATTTTAGCAGAATCGTTTTTTGGTGGTGCAGAAGCATGTACACGATAATGTTTCCATGCTACGGTTAGTACACTACCGCCACTTGTTATGCCAGCAAGTAATCGAAGACAATATGTACGTTTGATATTAGTAGTCACTATCGGCATTCGTCTAAAAAGACGAACGGCCAGCATCTGAATAGAAATGTAAAATAAATTAGCCTTTCTTATGATCATTCGCTCAAGAAATATTTCAAAATTTATTTGTTATCTATTTAGCTCGTTGACTAAATTGTCAATTTTCACACAAATGAATAATATTTATTAACTATTTCATTGATTATTATATATAATAGAATTATTTTAACGTAGTCTAGTTTAAAGTTTATTTTTGATTATACATGTTAATTTTTCTTATTCTTATCGAATACAAAAATATGGTTGGTTTTTAAAAATGACCCAATAGAAACATTATCAAGTGGCATCATAAATTTCCTATGATTGGATCATGAATTTTTTCCATCTTTTATTAATACATATTGCTTTTGTTAACAGGGTAATTGTTCCTACAATAAAGAAAAATTAATATTTGTCACAAAATATTTAGCATACTACTTCACGAGACAAAGAAACACCAAACTAATAAATACCGAGAATATTTTTTTGTGAAATGAATATTAAATTTTATTTTCACTTGAACTATTAATCAAATATCAGTCTACGTATTTATATTTCATAGGCTAAATACATATCTTTGAAATAACCGATAATGATTAATATGGGACCTCAGAAGTTTTCACATACATAAACATTTTTTCTTGTGTGTTTCACAAAGTAACTACGTAATAAGGTATCTTTTAAAGTAATCGATTATTCAAAGAAGCAATTAATATCAAGAATACAACAAATTTAACTCTCTTCTCTAAAATAATACATA